GGTCTCTGGTCTCAATCCTTGTCTAATGATTTGGGTTGGGATGACAACAATATATGATAGAGCTGTATGTGCGGCAGCCTCCCCAGAACTGTTTTAGAGGCAAGATTAAGATTCCTCCCACCCTTCCTTGAGGACAGGACTGTTGCATTACTAGTGCTTTACAGTCCATGGAGCTTAGGGGCCAGAGAGGGAAGTCAGAGAAGTAAATAAGTAATCCAACAAAATGAAGTGCTATGATGGGGTAAGAACAGGCATGAAGGGAGACAAAGAAGATCTTATCTGAGCCTTGCCGTCATCTGGAAAATTTTTTTTTTTCTTTTACTTAGCCTTGACTTGAAACTCAGCATCTGGAAGATTTCTGTAGAAAGTGATTTCTATACTAAGTTCTGAAGAAGATGTAAGAGGTAGACGAGGGAAGGGATAGGGGTGTGGTGGAGAGTTGAGATGCAGAAATATTCAAAAAGGCCCAGAGGTGAGAGAACATGTATATGTATGTGGAAAAGAAGTAGCAAGACATGAGTCCAGAGAAACTGCAGTCAGGGGCCAAAGATGTTTGTCTTGAAGTCCATGGAGTCAACAAAGGGTTTTGGGGTTTTGGGGGTATTTTGTTTGGTTTTTGAGACAGGGTCTTGCTCTGTTGCCCAGGCCAGAGTACAGTGGCGTCATCATAGCTCACTGCAACCCTAAACTCCTGGGCTCAAGCAATCCTCCTGCCTCAGGCTCCCAAGTAGCTGGGGCTACAGGCATGCAGCACCACGCCCAGCTAATTTTTTCCCTACTGTTTGTAGAGACAGGGTCTCACTCTTGCTCAGCCTGGTCTTGAACTCCTGGCCTCAAGCAATCCTCCTGCCTCAGCCTCCCAAAGTGCTAGAATTACAGGCATGAGCCACCGCTCCCTGCCCACAAAAGTTTTTAATAGATGAATGACATCATCAGATTTGCCTTTTACAAACATCTTTAAGACTAGTGTCTGAAGCTCCAGGCACCAGAAACTATGACTAGAACTGCTTTCTCTTGGAAGTCAATTTCTCTTGAGTACACCACCCCTTTTCTCTGAGGAGCGTTCGGAAGGAGAGAGGCAAGTCCCTAGAACATGCCAACAGATGTAGGCGGAGTGTGGGCAGGTTGGAAATGATGTATGGCTATGTGCTGATTACGAGTATATTAACCTTTAGTTTTTTTAGTTTAGCCTGTGAGAAAAGCACTATAGAAAGTAGTTAACAGGGTTTGCTCTAGATTAAGACCACTTACCTGCTGATGAGCTTGGTAAATTTTTTAACCTCTGTTTCCTCATCTGAGAAGTAAGAATAAATATAAAATTTTATTGAAGATTTATACATATTATCTCACTTATATGTGGAATCTAAAAAAGCCAAACTCACAAAAGCAGAGAATCAAATAATGGTGGTCAGAAGCTAGGGCGTTGGAAAATAGGAAGATATTGATCAAAGGATACAAATCTCAGTCGTAAGATGAACAAGTTCTGGGGATCTAATGTACAGCATGCGTGGTGAGGGATGTGTTAATTAATTTGATTGTGGTAAGCACTACACAATGTATATCAAATGATCACATTGTACAACATGAATATATTCAATCTTTACTTGTCAATTAAATATTTTTGTATTTTTTAAAAAAGGAAATAATTATTTATATATACAGAAAATTTGATTTTAAAATTACCTAAAGAGGTATAGATATAAATCAATAATTACTAGTTTACTAAATTTCAGTGGAATTAAATGCCTCATGAATAGTTTTCTATTAGAAATGCTGTGTACAGCTAGTTTTTATGGCTCTACCCATTCCTCCAGGTTACTGCTTGACCTGAATTTACTCCTCTCTCTTCTCAGGTTTGCTTGCCTGGTGGTTCAATCCTATCAGACACAAGCCACATAGGGAAAGCTTCAGTTTCTCTATGCTCCCATAATAAGTTTATGTTACTGTAGATAAAAGAGATAAGCTAATACATGATGCTATTTGGGGGGAGAAGGGATTTTTTTCTAAAATAGCTTTTAATATTTCATCTTTTTTCAAGAATATAAAAACAATATCCACAATTCAAAGGCAACATCTGAATTTTCCAAAAGATGCCTTTAAGTTCTCCTGAATAACATAAACAATTTTACCAACTGAATATTCTCACATACCTTACAAATTTAAAAAAAATAAACAACTCCCAATAATGAAAATAATCACACCTAAAATGCAGAACTCAGTACAACTGGGTCGTATCTCAACATACTCCTTGAACTGAATTAAAGGACTCAGTCACTAGCTTCTGTTGTGTTCCCTGAAATTAGTGCTTAGCTGCATTTTTGTTGGGTTTAAATACAAAATGGTACATCCATGATTTTAACCAAGCAAAAGTATGTCTATATGTGACCTGAAAGGCAATAAACAAAAATGAAAAGTTGTTTTAAATTTCTCTTTATAATGTTTATTAAAAAGGTCTTAATAGATTTTTTAAAAGGAACTTTAGCTGAGCACAAACAAAACAAATGAACAAAAAAACAAAACTTCCTGAAAATTTGAATGACTACTTAACCAAAAAGCTCTCCTTTACCTTTATTAACTTTCCTCATAGGGCCCTTAAAACCCTTCCAACTACTGAAAAGCGTTGTATGATTACTTCTTCCTTCCAGTCAGAGGAAACATAAGGGAAAAATGATGAGATACTTTTCAACTCTAGGTAGGTTAGGTAAAATCCTGAATCTTTTCAAAACATTAACCAGATGCAGGGTGAATCCTGAGGTTTTCACTGTTTGAAACTTGGGAGTTAATAGATCTATCCTGAAGAAATTATTCTGGGCACTCAAGACTTTTTCGTAAGAATGGACAGCAAAAATGGGATTGGGTTAAAATTTGAACTTGAGATCTCAAAAAGAAATTTACAGGTCTAAGCCAATCCTTCAATTTATAGATGAGGAAACTTGAGGTCCATTTACTTATTCTACCAACAAACTTTTATTGTTGTATTTACATTCTGAATGCTGGAGATACAATAAAGAACAAGACAAGATACAGTCCAAGGAAAGTAACTTGCCTGAAGTCACAAAGCAAGTTAGTAGCTAAATAGGGGCTCTTTGCACTAAACCCCATATTGTTTAATAATATACAACTATTTCTGCACCTGTAAGCACCCTAAGCATCTGGTGAAGGTTCTAAGATAAGATTTTCATGTACAATTGATGTAATAACATTTCATCAGGGGTATATATTATATTCAGAGGTAACATAATAAGGAGTATATATAATGATAAGGGTATATATTATATTCAGATATATAATGATAAGGTTATGTATTATATTCAGATGCTATTAGAATCTATATAAAATCACCAGTTTCTTTTTTTTTTTTTT